CACAAGGCAAGATTGGTTGCAAAAGGCTTCTTGCAAACCTCAGGAATTGACTATCATGAAACCTCCAGCCCTGTTATCAAAGCCTCAACTTTAAGGATAATTCTCACCCTTGCAGTTTCAAAGGGATGGAGCATTAGGCAAATTGATATTAACAATGCATTTCTCAATGGAGAATTGAATGAAGAAGTGTTTATGAAGCAACCAGAAGGATTTATTGACAAAACATAGCCTACTTTTGTTTGCAAACTGAATAGAGCTCTTTATGGACTTAAAAAAGCTCCAAGAGCTTGGTATGAGAAGTTAAAGAAGACTCTTCTTGATTGGAATTTCTCAAATTCAAAGGCAGACAGCTCCTTGTTCGTCTACATGGATCAAAATCGAGTTATCTTTACCTTAGTCTATGTTGACGATATTGTGGTTACAGGAAATGAGCAAAAGTCCTTACAGCTTTTTATTGACAATCTAAATGCTCAGTTTGCCTTGAAGGACATAGGGGAACTTCACCATTTTTTGGGAATTGATGTAAAAAGAAATGACTTAGGCCTACATCTTTCTTAGACCAAGTATATAAAAGACATGCTGAAAATGTTCAATCTAGAGAATCTCAGACCTTGTACAACCTCTATGACAATAGGAAAAACGATCTCAAAGGATGAAGGAAAAAGCCTGACAGACCCTTCTCCTTATCGAAGTGTCATTGGAGGATTACAATATCTAGCACATACCCGTCCTGATATTACGCTTGCTGTCAACAAGTTGAGTCAATTCTTGCAGGCGCCTTCAGACATTCACTGGAGAGGAGTTAAGAGAATTTTTAGGTACTTGAAAGGAACCATGCTTTGGATTCAGAAAAGTCACAGACTGTATATCACAAGTTTTGCTGATGCAGATTGGGCATCTTGTCCTGATGATAGGAGATCAACAGTCGGCTATTATGTTTATCTAGGTGACACTCTTGTAGCTTGGTCTTCGAAAAAATAGCATGTTGTGGCTAGATCGAGTACATAGTCTAAATATAGAGCACTCGCACAAGCAGCTGCTGAAATAACCTGGATTGAATCCCTGCTCAAAGAAATCAAGTTAACTCCTTCCCCACTCTCTATACTCTGGTGTGACAACCTCAGTGCAAAGGCTTTGGCTTCAAATCATGTCTACCGCGCAAGAACCAAACACATTGAATTGGACATACATTTTGTAAGAGATAAGGTTCTTGAAGGGAAATTGAAGATTCAATATGTTCCTTCAACTGACCAAATAGCTGACATGCTAACAAAACCAATCTCACAAACCAGATTTCTTATTCTAAAGGACAAGCTTGGAGTTAAAAGATGAACTCTAGCTTGAGAGGGGATGTTAAAATATGCATTTCATCATCATCAGCTGAGCAGCACACGCGAAAATTGGTTTGAGCTTGGAGACTGCTATTGTGCACCTGTGGTCCTGGTGGTCCCTTCCATTTGTTACAACAGATTTTATTCTTGCCTTTTTGTATCACATATAGTTAGTTTTTATTCTTTGCTTGCTCCCTACTCTAGAGGAGTTATATATATTGCAAATGTAACATACAATTCGTATTGAAAGTATTGGAATATATTTTCACATTACTTCCAGTTTATCCATTTCATTTAGCTCTAAAATTTAACTGAGCGTTACTTGCTAAAAATCATATTGGTCTAAAAGGTAAGTGAAGACATGTGATAGAGGGTGAGAGCAGGGGCGGATCCAGCACCGGGCGAGTTGGGGCAGCCGCCATTACTGGATCCGCCGGGAAAATAAATTTAAATAAGATTTATGAAAAACAATTATATATATATATATTATTGTATGATTGTTATTAAAAAGCTGTGTAGATTGTTTGGGAGTGAAGGTGCCTTTCCACGCGAAATGCTAAGGTTCGAATCTCTTCAACAATATTTTCTCTTCCAATTTTTAAACACGATAAATAATAACTAAATATTAATTAATTGTGTCATTGTTCAACAAAAGAATGGTAATTCATATGGTAGAGTGGCCATATTGTGTACTCAAATGTACGAGGTTCAATTCTTTACTATTCTACTTTTTTATTTAATTTTTCAATATAATAAATAATAACTAAACAATTACATATTATTAGTTTTCGTTTTCATTTTCGAAATAATTTCTTTAAAAAATTTATCGACTCAAATTATTATTCTATGATATATATACTTTTATTGTTATGTTTTATTAATTTATTTTATAAAATTCAAATTTGGACAATTTAAGTATTGTTCGTTGTTCTTTTAAAAGTTCGAAAAATACTTTTGCTTTTGTGGTCAAAAATAGTTTTAGTTTTAAAAATCATTATTTTCAAAATTTTGCATAACCTCCGCCTAAACTCGATAGCTTGTCTTTACTATTTAATCATGCTTTACGTATAAATTGTTTCGTTTGAATTCGTAAAAAAATTAAAATTTGATTGTACATGTATGATTGAAAAATGTATTTTTCTCCTTATTATTTTATATTGTATTTGATTATATTTTCAAATGTTTATGATTTTTTCACGTTTCAATGCATTTATATATTGATTGAATTTTTTTAACATTATTTAATTAAATATTAATAAACAATCTTATTTGTTAACGACCGCCCTTGCTGACTTCGTATCTTGGATCCGCCATTGTGTGAGAGTGGACATTTGTTATACAAATAGTCCAACTGAAAAAAGACTATCTCATAGATTTCTATTTTCATTTTGCCCTATGAATTAAATATAATGCAAAAACTGTAATAGTATCAAAAAGTACATAAATATGACTTTTCTCTCCCCTCTTCATATCATACCTTTCTTGAAGTCTAGTAAAAAAACTCAAAAAAGAGTGACAATTGATGATTAAATGATACGGATATTTTTGTAAGTCCCTTTCCTAATGTAGGGAGAAATAGTATGGAGCACTTTAATCAACAAAAAAGTAAACAGAGTTTAATCTGATTATTGTTATGCATCGTGGGATAGAAGCGACACGTAGGACACATTTGTCACATAGCATGAAGGCCAAACGCAACTCACAAACCTTGTAAAGGCATCGCAAAGGAAATAAATATCATATGTGAACATTTTGCTTGAACAATGGACGCATCGCCACATGTTCGTAAAGTTGCATGTCCAGATTAGTACTATTTTGGAGAGAAAAATACTTCATTGAAACTGATAGAATGAGAATGAAAACTTAAGGAAAATACCTTCAGAAGTCACCTATATAGGGGTTGATCCTGGGGGGCGCAGCCAATGGGCTTTGGACACATACTGAATTCCTAGATGTTAGATCTAGGGTTGACATGAGTTAGTACTCTAATGTGAGGATCTGTGGACATTTGTAGTGCCCATAGGCATTGGATCTAGGGTGAACATATTAGAGAAGCACTAAGATCTACGGGCACTTGTAACATGCATGAACTACAGGATGTAAAAGGGCATGTGGATAAAGTAGACATTTTTTGTTGTTAGGGAATTGTTTGAATCCAACTAAAAGTAGAACAGGACTACTCGAAGATTAATGACCTCTGATTAGGGATGATCAATTAACCAAATTTATAACGGTCGAGCAGGGGTGGGCACGGATCGGGTTTATGTCCTACCCGACCATTTAACCAATGATTCGGTTTGAGTAAAAACTCAACCTGGAAACAAAATCGAAAAGGATCGAAACTGACCCAAATCCAAATCAAGGTATTTTTTTCTAAGCCGACTATTAAAATCGAGGTTTTCTAATGTTGCCTACTTTCTTTGTAGAACCACAAGGTATTTGCAGATTTCCTAAGCTTTGGGACTTCTTGATCTTTTTACATCGTTTAGACACGTGTGGCTTAATTATTGATGAGCCTTTAGTAAATCTCAATTACAGAGCCTTCTCCTATTGAGTTGGTCATTACTATCGCAAAATTCCCTAAATCATCTTTTTAACACACTCTTATAACTGTTTTCGCCACGTGACACCTTTCATGTTACTACACAATTAACAAGATGTTTGCATGCTTCCCTTTGAGTAGACACCTGTTCAACTTTAGTAGCTCAACCATCTTAAATGTATTGGTTCGATTATGAAAATTTTGATCTCAAAGATTTTGTCTTGCCTAGATGGAATTTGGGCTGTTTTGGTGCCAAAGCTGTATGCGAAGTGATGATCACGAAACATATTCAACAATGGTCAAAGTGATAGTGAAGATGTCCCTTCTTATGTTCTTTGTGGAACTGTTCTATGAGTGTATCCATGCCGTGTAGATACACAGTAACACCTCCTTTGCCTCTCCACAAAGGAGCAAATACAACGTATATGTGCATATGTACATGCAGCTATTATTCTTATATTATAATGTTGTCATTTAGGTTATAGAAAACATGAAAACTTGCTAAACAGTTAAGATGGATAAGAACCATAACACATATATTAGTAAGAACAACCATGCTACATGTACATCATGAGTTACATGAAGTTTGACATTTTTCCTTATAACAGCAATCTACATCATTAATTTTAAACACATCTATTCCATCACTGACCAAATTTCTTCCACGGGGAGTGTCAAACTTGTTGTCATGGAAGAATGTACATCTAGCTTTATTCTTGCGAGAATAGTTTGGCGATCATTTTGGAATGAAGCCTGGATGTCCAGAAGCTTTCAATATACATGAAAGAAGGATTTGTTTGGGAAAGATTGTTTAAAATTATTTTCAACCATACATTCTATGAAATCCACAACTTTTTCCTATTTTTAACAATTTTTCCAAAAAAACATTCTCACTTGAATAAATCTCTCCCAAACAAACGCTAAAGATCTTAAAATGAATTTAACAAGCAAAAATCCATCGGGCACCAAATGTTTACTGATTTTCATCACAGTACGAAATTCTTTTGTTTTCTGAAAACTGCTACTGAGAATTTGTATCGTCCTTACTATTACAAAATTTACTGGCGACAAATGAACAAATTCCTTGTAAACCTCTGCACCATCCCTTGAATAAAGGTCGATGTTCTTCATCTGTAGAATGATGCTAGAACATAAAGAAAGAGCGCCGTGGATGCAGTTACAAGCAATTCCTGCAAAAGAGATTAACCAGTCATATCCATCAATCCAGATCAACCTCAAGGTAGAAACACCAGTGTGTCAATTTGAATGAAATATGGCATATTAAGCTCTTCGTCCATAACAATCCTAAGAACACATGATTGGTGCATCGTTCTTATAATATTAGATTAGATTAGACTGCAACATAAATATTAATCAGAAACAGAATATCACTTATTAAATTGGTGGTCAGAAGAATTTCATTAAACATCCCAAATTGCACATCGGAACATAAATTCTAAAGATTTATTTGTTACACTAATACTAAATTGGATAGAACTATTTATAAAATTCAGTCTGTAAGTACAGAGTTGATTAACAACACCACCGCGAAAGACTACCTAGTTATCAAGTGGATTAACAGTTCGGAAATTTAGGGAATCGGATGATTTTTATCATATTAGAGCAAATTGCATACATCAAAATGTAAAGTTCGTCTCTTTTAATGGCAGTAGAAAATAGTTATTACCTGGTTGTTGTAAAGGAAGATGGGCACATAACCAACAGAAAATTCAATGACATTTAAGAGGCCAGTGTATCCCTGCAATTAAACAATAAAAAAAGGTTGTAATTGAACTCAACACAACCAGTTATGATTATGATGCAAACGATTGAAACTAAATTTTGAAATTGCAAACATTTGGTATCTGAAAGGGAGAAAAAGTAAGCCATCTAGCTTGGGCGCATCCACTCTCTACTTCAAGGTGACCAGAATAGTATACTGTTGAGGATCTGATAATTTCTTCATATATTTAAACATACAAGATATTTCCCTTAGTATGAACTCTGTACCATAACCAAGGGTGGGTATCATAAATTGAATTGGCTGGATAAGAATTAATTTAGTCCATTCCAGGATTTGGTATAATTTGTAATTAACTGATCATGGAAAGAGCAACAAATGAAATTAAGTTGTTACAATAGAAGACAGTGGACCGTGGTATCCTAAAGATTAACACAAAATCACAACAATACGTGGACTTAACTAGTGTCAAACCCCATTATTCAAAAATTAGTTTAGCATGCTTTATTAAAAATTAAATAAATTCGGGTGTTATTACTATTATAATTTGGACTATCAGGCACAAATGAATAAAAGTGGATCACATACCAAAGATGCGAAAGCTATACAACCGAAAACCAGTGCCAGAGATCGAAGTAACCTTTTTCCCATTCGCAACATTCTCCCTTCATCCTCACCATCTTCCTGCAGCAAAGACCAACATATAAGTTCAATGTATAACAATCTTAATAATGACTAGATCCTTGCAAAAATAAATAACTACTTTGAACAAAAACATCGTTAAAGATCGAAAAGCATTATTAATTCCATTTCACGACTTACTGAAACAGTAGATGATGTAGATGGTTCGAATGCCTTTAACTTCTCAAATATCCGATATACAAACACAAAGGCCAAGAACTGTAAAGGTTTATATTCAGCTGAACGCTTGATAAAAATCCAAGCCGTCTGTAGGCAGAGAATAAAGAATATATTAACCCATATTGTTTGAATGAAAATCAACAACATTAATTATCATTCATCAAGAATCTGACTCATTATCCCTTTCTGCATAATTCATACACTGATTGGTTACATGGTACAAAACTTAATGCCTTACAATCTTAATGAACATAATTTTTCTTCAAGAACAAAAAATATAATTATTTTATGAAATCAGATTCTGCTTTATATAAAAGTCATTGTTGAGGGTCAATATTCAACTAGTGTGGCAACCTATCGAGTTATACATGTACTGAGCTCAAGACTCTTGTACACACATAAATAACCTTAGGCTATTATTGAAATGCCACATAAAATTGTATCTTGAATCAGGTTTATAAATTCTCACTTTATTTTAATTCAGCCAACAGAACCTAAGAGGGAAAATTAAAATTTGTAGTCTAGGAATGGAAGAACTAAAATATATTTGGTTACACACACACCACACATAAATGAACGTGCTAAGTACGGAAAAGAAGACCGTTTAAGAATGCAACGAGCTAGAGTTCAAGATCCTGATAATTGCTATGTAAAAATTGATTTAGTGCTTTGCCACCTTGTATTCTATCCATTAAAAGTTTTCTACTTACGAATACAGCCGATATTGCCATGTTGATTCTTATATCTTTCACATCTGACTTGGTGAACCTGAGGGCATCACAATTATCAGTTAAGTAACATAAATCACCAAAGGACCCACAATAAGGCATTGAAAAGTAATTTCAAGGTTCCTAGACAATAAAGATTTGAAGGAAAAGAAGAAATTAAAAAATGTGAATGCAAAATTGAAACATTAACTTCACTTCAACTGTGTAGACAAATCAACAAAAATATAAATTAATACTATGAGTTCTCAGGAGTGCCCAATTGAGCAGTTGTAAGCATATGTATGCCTCTGATGCACAAAACAGAAAAGAAAGACAAATTATAAGCTTGCAATAACAGTGTACATGCATGCAATGGATGGGCTACACGAGGAATTGTCACATCAATATATCACTACTATACCTAATAATGAGATATGAACGCTTGAATACTGTCCTTGATATGAAGTTATACTTTATATAGAAGCTTGCAGACAGCATGGTAAAGAATATAGAAATATCAAATGCAAATGACCCAGCAAAATCATTAATTTTTAAATTATTCATTGGAATGAACTGATAAAAAAAACTTATACCTTGGGCCCCATGGTACAATTGGCTGCTTATCAGCATACTTTATATCCTTAGAAACCTGAACTTCATTTAAGAAAACACATAGGGAAATAATCAAGTCACAGATTTAGACAAATGAACATTAGGTCACTGATTCCATGAGCAAATAATGAACAACTGGAATGGACGTCAGAATTTGCTTACTAATAGCACCATGATACTTGAATCATAGTAGCTCTAATCTCCTTCATAGCAAGTTAAAAATTTGTACTTACACAGTCAAAAAGTATGACAGGTGAACTTCTTTGAAAAGAGGAAAAAGAGACCCCACAAGTTACTTCCATGGTTAAATTATTTCAGTCTATTAGTTAATCATAAATTTGCATGAGTTGTTTATGTTCTCCAACGGTTTTTGATCGTCATAATTAATACGGTTTCTAGAAAGTGGAGTTTTATCAAAATAAAAATAAAAATATTCTAGTAGCTAACTTCTGCACAGTAAGTAGCATTTTATCCTGGGGAATTGACAATTGGAGAACCGAATTAAATAGAAATACTTTGATCATGAGGTCAAGGTCTCAAGAAAACTAGTTTCTTTTTCTTTAATCTTGCAGCTCATCTCCCCTTTCCATATTTTTTTAATGAAATGTTGGATTTTATTATTGATGACAAAGTTTCAAGCAAAAGGAACCGTTTCTTCAGGAAAATCTTTTGACCAAGCAAAAACTCCATTGAAATTCTTTGCCTACCCAGCAAAAACTCCATTGGAACTCGACCCATTAGCCCCACTTGGCCCATCCATTCTCTATATATATGTGAATCTATTTCACATAAGATATGTTCTCTAACCTTAGCCAAATCCCCTCTCCCTTCTCTTGCATTCATTTTTCTTTTGTCCAGCTCTTAGCTTGATTTCGAAGTGCAAAAGGTCATCGGACACTTTTCTAGACCAGCAGCCTTTGCCTTCTAACGAGATGTTCAGTGTGTAGGTGATGCTCGCGTGGAGGAGACGTGGTCGAGATTCTGTTGGCACACTTTTTGAGATCAACAAAAGGAAACACTGCATTCCAACTTCTCCCACAAAATGCTGGATTTCGTTGATTAAGAACAACCAACATCAGCTTTTTGCTTCATAAACATGGGTGCATGTTTCCCTTCCTGCCATAAGCACACCTAATGACCTAAAAGTATAAACGACAACACCTTGGACACTGCAGTTAAACATAATTTAAGAAGGAAAAAAACTATTTATTAGGGTTTCGTGCCATCTTGCTACAAAACAACCCTACTTACTACATTCCACTGGCCAAATACTTTGGCCCCATTACTTGATTCAGAAAGTAACGTCTTAGAGCCAAGGAAGTAAAATAGTAAACGATTCAATAGAATGCCGAGATGAAGGAAACTACCCTCTTTCAGGAAATAATTACAGTATTGAGATGCCAACTAATCTGCATTATATCACATTAAAAAAAAAACCCAAGTGAACCTTGTGCCAAGCATTATTAAATGTCATACAATGATCCATTGACAATTTTGTTCATGATGCTAACATTGTTCGATAAATCCACAACATCCAGAGAAAACAAAATTTGAACCATTTATCATACCTTAAATGAAGCAAATGTCTCACCCTTCTTCCTTTTTGTTAATTGTGACATCATGATCTTGTCATAAGCTTTTTCCAACTGAAAATAACACATTTTCCAACATCAGATATCTTGAATAAGTCTGCACACATCATATTTTATACATCACCATACATAAATTATATACATTAGTACATAAATAAAACCTACTCGAGCAGCAGCGGCCTCATCCCCTCTCCTCTCAGCATCCTTCCGCTTTTTTGTGTACGCTGCCTTTACCATGTCAAATCCCTCGAGGGCATTTACACCAAGAACCTTGACAATATATATGAAAATGCGCAGGTGTGACCTAAATTACACTAAACAGAATTAAAAATAAATAAAAATTGCACCAATAGGCAATCTAGAATACCTCGTACGGGTTAGAATCATTATTTGAACTAGAACTCCCGGCAGCTGAGGATGCAGCACACTTCACCCTTAAGTTATTCAATGGAGATAATGTGGGCAACCTGAAGAAATTAGTATCCTAAATTCCATTGTCAAATTTAAAACGGAATAAACAGCCATGAAGCAAAAAGGAAAAGTGTTAGTATAATAATTACCTGGGAAATTGACGGCATAATCCGGGAAATGGAATTGAATCACCTTTGAAAAAATTGTTCCTCGGAGCGTATCGTGAAGGGGTTTTTGGAAATTGGATTAGGTTTGATGATATTGAGAAGGCCATTGATTGATTAGAAAGCTGAATTTGAGGATTGCGTTTAGGGTTTTGAGAGGTTTTATAGTATATAACTGAATAGCCGTTAAGTCACTTGGCCCTTGTTTGAGCCGTTTTGGGTAAAAAGATAGTTTTGGAAACATGGGCTTCTCTCCCTTATTTTGGCTGCAATTTCAACGCTGAACTTTTTTTTTTTTTTTTTGGAAANAATGCCGAAAGTGGAAATGGCCCGCAACGAAGTAACAGCTGTGACTTAATAGACCGGAATCCCCAACTAAAGCCAACTAACGCAATCAGCACTTAAGCACCCTCGCAACAAAGTGACGAGCATTGTCAAATGCTTCAAAAGCCCTCCCGGAAGTGGGAGGGCACTCTGGTTAGAGTCACACCATGGCCCAGAATCCACTGCCAACACCAAACACCACCCAACAACCAAACCAAGACCCAACTCCAACCAAACAATCAAACAGCCAACATCACCCCACAACCAACAACACCACACAACAGCAACCCCCAACAATCAACACAAAACAAAACAACCGAGACAACACAAATCAAACAAAACAACAAACAAACAAACACCACCAATCCACCACCAACAAACCCCCACACACACACATCACACCCCCACAAACCAACCCACGGCCACCACTGGTACCCAGCCAAAAAAGCCCATCAGCAGAAAACTTCGCCATCCCCGACCGTATGAGACCGCAAGCCAAAACTCACCCACCCCTCACACTGACCAAAAACCAGCGAAGACAACCACCTTGGGCAACCGGCCCGAACCAAACCACCGCACCGCCCCAACCATGCCTGCCAAAACTCAACAAACCGCAGGCAACCAAAACCAAAGGGAAAACGAAATAATATTTATTTTTTATTGTTTTGCTTTTTAAGTATGAAATAATATTTATTCTGAGACTTATTGATTTAGTCCATGTTTGTCTACTAATTTCCAAAGACTTTTTTTTTTTCAAACTCATTTTCAACTACACATTCTCATAATAAAATAGTTTGCGCATAAACCCAAAATTCTTCCTTTCTAACCACACGTTCTCTAAACAATTAGAATATGTTCTCTTTATTGTTTTCAAGTCATTTTCAGTTTTCAATTTTCGAAAACATTAAAAACACGTTTATTTAACTATTTTCATAAACGAATTTTCAAAAATAAGTTTAAAATTTACAAAGAAACAGAAAACGCCAAAAAAGTCGTTTTGGCTGTTTTCAGTTAAAACCAAGCCAAAACTTCATTTTTTTTATTTTTGAAAACAAATTTTCAAAATGACAAAAAGAACATATTTTCAGCAATCTCAAAATGGACACTCAAAATACAAAATCCAAAATGAATTCAAAACTCAAAATTAAAAACGGAAATACGAAGAGAACAACCCCTTACTATATTAAAACTCATTTTTAAATAAAAAAAAAAAAGGTTTTTAAATGGGCATCAAATAGAGGCTTAACTATAAGCCCTTGTTTGGACTCCATTTTAATATTAATTCGGGGAAAATGAGTTTTGGAATAGTGATTTTTTAGAAAATATGTGATTAAAAAAAAGAAATTTTTTAAATTTACGTTTAATATTATTTTATGGGAAAATGTATAGTTGAAAATAGATTTGAAAAAAATGATTTTTTTGTAAAAATGAGCCAAACATAAGTTAAGCAAAATTTTTAAGCTTTGCAAACATGTTAATAACTCGTAATATTTCTTTTTTTTGAAACAATAACTCCGTTATATGACTTATATCTTCTAATATTATTTGGAGATGTTACTTAGCACATGTTTGACTTCTATTAGTCATTGTTCGGCCCTTATTTCGAAGAATTTATAAATTTTGAAATAGTAATGGATGGAAAACGCGTGATTAAAAAATAAAGAAATTTTTTAAAATTTGTGTATAATATTATTTTATTTGATGAATGTGTGGTTAAAATTAAGAAAGAGAAAAATTTTTAAAAATTTAATGGGGGCCAAAAATGACTAAAACAGAACATTTTATTCTTCATACTCATTTTCAATCTCATATTCACACAATAACATATTTTACATGTAAATCTAAATTTTTTTTATACTTCTTAACAATATATTCTCCAAAAAATCAATTTTCAAAGCACAATTTCTCCCCAAATTATCTTTATAATGGCTACCAAACATAGGCTTAATTACTTCACCAGTCAATAATTAAAAAAATTATTTTATTTTAATACATTTAACATTGTATAGTCTACTTTAACAACCTGCAATTAATAAATTTTATTTACTTTTTAGTATTTTCTCAACTATAAAGTTTACTTTGCTACAAATTTACTTGTGTAGAGAATAGGTTTTTTTTTTTTTTTTTTTTTTTTTAAATAATACACAACTTTGGTGGCATTTATGTAAAATTTATTGGAACAACTCAACTTACTATTGTTTTCATATAATGTGTTGAATAAATCCGGTTCATCTTAAGGAACCTATCATATTCCGAAAAAGATGAAATATGATAGACAATATTTTGTAAACTATCATGAATATATTAATGATTTCTTTATTGTTCGATCATCTCGAATGGACAAAAGAAAGATCTTGTGCTTTCTTCAATATATTCTGATCTCATTCCATCAAAATAAACAAGACGTATTTTATCGCAAGTGTTGGCTAAGAAATAAGGAGTGGAACCAATGGCTTCATCAAACTTCATATTTAATAATGATGATGGCATTGGAACTGTAATGTTCGCGTGGCCTAATGGATAAGGCGCTCGCCTCCGGAGCGGGAGATTGTGGGTTCGAGTCCCATCGTGAACGATTTGAAATTATTTTACGTTTCCCTTTTCCTATTTTTCTGTGTGTTTCATTTTGGGTTTTCCCCATCCTCTTGTTGGTTTCCTTATTTAGCAAGTTTTTTTGATAACTCGCTGAATTACTCTTCAAAATTTGCAGAAACTTCTCTTGAAATTTATTTTGCAAGAATTGGAAATATCTACATCTTAATCCGCATAAAATTCACATACTTCAAACAGAAAATAAAAATTTTCATCTGGCCTTTTATTGGTACATAACTTTATTCAATAAGAATTGATCAGTTGGTTTTTTCTGTGATCTTATAGTGAAATCCATCTGGAAATCTCATGATCGGAGAACGAATAATTTTTCCACCCTTGACAATAGCCCATCTGCACAGATAGTATGGAGAATGGTTAGTCCTAAGCTTGCAATAATACAAATGCGCAAGCACCTTGCACATGATTATAATAGCGATCTAGTGACATTGCTTGTTCGATCAAAAGTAATAGTATGGAGAATGGTTAGTCCTAAGCTTGCAATAATACAAATGCGCAAGCACCTTGCACATGATTATAATAGCGATCTAGTGACATTGCTTGTTCGATCAAAAGTAATAGTGGTGAACATGGTTCCATTTGTTTCTGGTTCCAAGAGAACCGAACCATGCACCGATATTGAGTTTGGTTCTTGGTTATAGAACCAGAACTGAACCATAACCAAAATCAAATGGTTCTCAGTTCTAAGAATCAAAACCATTAATTTTTTTGTTGAACCGAACCGCTCAGTTTGGTTTGGTTCTGGTTCGGTTGGTTATTTTGTCCACCCCTACGAAGTAAAAAATCCCTTAAATTTGATGGAGAACAGTCATAAGGAGAAGGATAATGAATAGTACCTGTACTTTGTGACCAAGACGTGTAGAAAAGTTGCCAGTAGCACCCGACTATATTCTGCACCAGCACATTGCTTCATACCAGATCCAAACGGCATAAAACATTTAGCTATGACAGAAGGTTGGAGTTCCTGTTTAATTGGAAATAAAAATCCGTTATTACCATTATATTGAAGTCGCTTATGAGGGAGCTCGATCAATATGTTTATAAACCCCACAAGGACTTGGAAAGCGATGTTGAACTCAGAATTAGTCGTTTCAAAAAAATGTATACACACCTTCCAGCGCCATGGGTTGAATTTAAGAGGATCCTCGAATTGGTTAGAGTTGAGATGAAGGCCGGCGGTGGCAATCATAATCACCCATCCTGCAGGGATAGTATATCCTGCAAGAAAAGATTCTAAGTATGTTAATTCAATGTCGGAATAATTTTACAGATAATGTGAAATTCCTATCTTTTTCGTTTTCTATATTTATATTTATGTACCATTTACAGGAATATCTTGTAAAGCTCGACGGAAGAATCCAGGTGCTATATTTCCAAGCCTTAGAACTTCATTGATGACCTACATATATGATGTTTTTCATTAGGTACGTGGGTTACAGCAGATATCAGAGCACAAAAAAATAGTTATGTACTAGACCAAAGTGCTCAAATCTTCTTCATTGTATTATTTAGTCTTGTCCAGTATTTCTTATCAAAAATATTGTGTATGTATGAGACCTGAAGTGTAAAAGTCATAGATTTGTAGTCATTCCATGTGAGATGGGATTCTGATTTCTCTCGTTTCTGGAGAATCTCCTCGTGTTCAGCCTGGAGAAAGAACATCGATTAATGACTATAAACCGAATATAATTGGGACATAAAGATACAGTTCACAAAGTATATACTCACAGTTAATTCCTCCAAAACTAAGGGATGTTCAGCAAGTAACTTGAAAGCTAATGCCAGTGTGGTAGAAATGGAATCAGAAGTGACAAAGTAACAGTCCAAACATCAATTGTACGATGAAATCCTCGTTTAAGAATGTCTCCTTTTTCATATCCTCAATCATATGATCAAGCATATCTCCATATTGCCTCTCAGGTTCTACGAGCCTAGTTTTCACGATGTCCTTCATCATTTCTCGTACTTTCTTGTGAGTCTGAACATTTTTTTCCAGTCAGGACAAACCATCTTCTTGTCGCTTTTGACTAATCTTGGGTGAAATATGCGTAAACACGTACCTGTAAGCATCTGTGATGTGCGGTACCAGGGATATTAATGGGAAACGTCATTAGACCATCAACCAAGTCCCTGAACAAATCACTTATTTTGAGGGGTGCATTCTCAAGATTACCACTGTATATTTGTCTCGCAGCATAATCGATAGCCATCTGCCAAAGGAAATTAATTTATGATCATATTTCACTATATTCTGATATGTTATGTATCCATATATTATCCAAAATCCATATAGAGATTAAGTGATATTTACTGTAACAGAAGCACTTTTCACTTCAACTGATTCTTGACTAGACCAATTCAAAAGTGTTTTAATAACCATATCTTCCATTTGAGGGAGGAGTTTCTCCCTGAGAGCTTCCACACCAAAGTGATTTAAAGTCAAGTGTCGCGTATATTTTCGTGATGACTAGCTAGCTTGATCGAATACTTCTGCGAAAGTGTCCATCGACCACGTGTCAACTAATTTTCCATCTTGTCGAAGCAGAAAATGATTAAATTCAGGATCTGCTGTTATTATCACTGGCCTGCCAGCAACATTTGTTCGAAAAATAGGTCCATACCTAATACGAACACGAGTAGTTTAACTCATCAGATAAATTAGACAAAATGCAAAGCAATGTTAACACTTTCAGATTAATATTTTGGCCGAGCTTATTATAAGTAAGTAAATCTCCCAAACATAATTCTAAAAGTTACTTTTATAACAAAACTTACTTTTCTAGGAAGTACCTTATAAATTAAGAAAGTAACTTTTTAAGCTTATCCAAACATGCTCATTTTCTCTCCCTCTCTCTAACTAAGCTTTTTACGTGAGGATTGCGTGTTTAAGACATAACCCCTATTTGGTATAGATATTAGATTTTTAGTAGATTTTAATAAAAATTGATACAATGTGTGGTTGGAAAGTTGTGGAACCTATGTGTGATTAAATTTAATTGTTGTATTTGATTTAGATTTTAATCAGATTTAAATTTAATTGTTGTATTTGATTTAGATTTTAATCAAACCGGGGAATAATAAATTTGTCAACTTTTGGACTAGGTAGTTCTCTTTACCTTTTCATCCTCTTTTTGATGAATGGTGGAAGGTCCAAAGAGGCACTTGGAATGACCAACTGAATTGTTTCGCCGATAAGAGGGAGCCCCATGGAACCTGGAGGAAGAACTCCATTGCACTTGGGATTCCTCCATCTGTAAATCCAGTGAGTTACATAAACTGTAAGCAATCCCACAATCAAGAGACCCACTGTTGACAGATCCAATGCTGCCATTCGACTCGGGATGTTCGAGGAGTTTAAGGTTTCCATATATGGTTGCAAGAACAGGCGATAAATATTGAAGCAGATAGCTGATGGAGTTAAGAAAAATGCTTGGAGAAATTAAAAGCTTGAGAACTGATGACAATTTTTTGTACGAAAAGCAATATCTGGAACACATGATATATATAGACTAATATAATTAAGCAAATAAATATGAGAGGAGAAGTAACAAAAAAGAAAATATAGTTTAATTTAGTAGCCTCCAGCAGCGGGAATATTTGTATTTGGAGCTTTTAAACTGTAGGGAAAAAGACATAAAAGGGTATCAGACTTGCCAATTTGTTGCAGATTGTATATAGTTCTCTTATTTGTCTCTTTGTCATTTTTAAACATAAGATGTATTAGACCTGCAAAGATATCAAGAAAATGAATGTTGTTGATAAGTAAAGATAGAGGCAGTCTTGAGGGTGCGCGTAGGGTTGGGCAAAATATCCGAACCGAATCGGAACCGAACCGAACCGAGCGGGTTTTTTAAAATGAAATACCCGAACGGGTATCCGAATTGAGAACCGAATGGTTTGGTTCGGTTCTTGATTCTAGACCAAGAACCGAAGAATCGAATAAGAACCGAATTTTTTTTTTAATATTAGATAAAACAATTTCTTTTATTTTTTTTAAATAAATTAATAATTTTTTTCTTATTAAATCTTATTAGTTGAACAATTTAGA